TCTCTGCCTTTTCTTTGGCTTCCCTAACTCTTGCCACCTCTCTTCTCAACTCAGACCTTGCTAGGATGGTTGCCTGTTGGCTCAGCGAAAGCACACGTCATTGCAGCCCTGATTACTACTTGAAACAGTTCAATGAAACAGAGCTTATGCCAGTGGGTACTGGTTCAGGGTGCACAAAGATGCTGTTTCTCCCAGTGCATGTAGTAGTGGCTTCTGCAAGAAAGGTGACGAAAGTGTAATAGCTTTCATTTTGATGGCAGTCTATACATATGCAGTAGCATGGAGCTTTGCTCAGTCACTTTTTTTTTTCCCCAGGAAGGTTTCATTCATGAGATTATAGAATTTTCCTTCCATTAAAAGGCCATCTTTCAGTTTGGGAAGGCACCCAAAGGAGTTTCCTTGTGATTAAGTGTTTTTTAACCTGTCACCCAAGTTTCAGTAAAACCTCCAAGTGTTACTTGTAATACTATGTATTACTGTAACTTGTTACTGTGCTTAACTAGGACTATTAGATTTTTCAAATGATGGTAAGCTCTCTTGAGAGAAGACATATCCGTATAAGGTGAAATGCTACTTCTAGGAGGTTCTAACACCAAATGCTCAGTTTCTTACTGAAAGGCTTTGTATGTCTGAAACCAACTCTCAGACTTGACCTATTGTCTTAATGCTTTTCTTCAAAGTCTTTCAAATCCCACTTTATAAACTACAGGTCCTCTTTTTTTTCCTGTCAAGCAAAACAAACTAAATTCTGTAGCTGCAAGAGGACAGTGTTGCAGAAGAGTCTGGAAAAGAAGTTATTTTTGCACCGGTTTTGTCATCCTTATCCCTTTCTATTGATTGCATGAACTGCACAGGGCAGTGATAGCCACCTGCAGTAGGTGAGCAAGGACTTGGAATCTTCCTCATCCCTGAAGTCCATGTGTGGGTTTGCTGCTAGCAGAGCAGGAGGAGACTGGCAAGGCAGTATGAAAAAATTCTGCTGTGTTCATTTACCTGAGCATGAATCAAGCTTGCATCTCCTCAGAAAGCTGATGTACCGGTCATAGTATTGAGAATGTAGCAGTGGTTATATTCCTGGATGTGTCTGATGGGCCTCGTCATGTTTTCAGGAGGATAGAGGGTGGTCAGTTGTGTTTTGCTAAAAATAATAATTTTGGTATTCAGGCCTTCCACAGTTGATTGCAAGACATGCTTTTGGTAAAGTATAGCTCAAGTTGCACCTAATACAGTGTAGTGAGCAGCTACCAGGCAATTCTGAAAAGAGCATCGTCCTAGCACACAATGATCCATCTGGGAGTCTGAATTTTCTTTTGGTTGGCAAGATTGATAGAGCTTGAGGAAATCTTTCTGAAGAAGTCAACTGTTTGTGTATGAATTACATCATTCTATCCATCTACAGTAGAGAAACTGTCATTGAGATGGTAGTGCATATGACATGAGGTGTCATACATATCAGTGCAGTATTTGGAAGCATCTGAATTAATGCTCTAGGACACACATGGTTTCCCAAGCTCAGATGACATTTGTGCTTATGTGTTATCTGGGCATGAATTCTGTCATGAGTTTATCACACAGCCAAAGAGGAGAAGGACGAGGTGTCTTCTCCAAGTTCTCTAACAACCTGCTTTTTGTCACTGGCTGGAGTCAGCAGGCTAGTCTCACTTTTCTTCAGAGAGCTCATGTTCAATACTGTGGGGACTTCTTTTAACTAAGAGCCCTTGCATTAAACTGAAAACTTAAAGGAAAAGATTGTATACTGGAGATGGTAATACTCACTGTCATGCTAAAGAAGTCTGAGTCCTATAGGGTAAACCTGGATACTGTTTTAACATAATACAACAGCTAACCTTCCAGAGGTTCTGCACTATAATTGGAATGTTGTGTTGTGTCCTCCCTCTCCGCAGTAATAGTCAATTTTATTAGCATTGGTTCTAATTCAATTAATTTATTTATTTTAAATTACATTTATTAGTATTAGATAATGAATGCATGAATGGCAGTTCTTCTGCCCTCTATATGTTTAACTTTCTCAGCGTGGAATCCTATATATTTTCCATTCCCAGAACAAGCCTTGGCTGCAGTGCCAAGGTAGCCATTGTGGGTACTCAGCAGGTCTACCTGGTGTTGAAGTCCTGGATGGTTCTCCTTTAGTAGTCTCAAAGGGTTGAAAAAGAAAAAAAAAAAAAAAAAATTGCTATCCCTAAACTGTCGGCAGGAACAATTTGTTTGCAAAATTCATGTTGAGTTGTGCAGACATACGTCTTACTATGTATGTGCAATTTTGTAATGGTGCTGCCATAGAACTATAGTCACAGCTTATTTTCTCACATGGTTTTCTGGGTTAAATGCAGGTTTTTCCTCTTTGTTTCAGTGTGCAAGGATCCACCCTACAAAGTTGAAGAATCGGGGTATGCTGGTTTCATTTTACCAATTGAGGTTTACTTCAAAAACAAGGTATGGAATTACATACTCTTCATTTTAAAAAAAAAAAAAAAAAGTGGAAGACAGTTTTTTAAATAGTTGCAGTTTAATTCATAAACTCAGTTAAAAATTAGGTTTAAAGCTATCTTTGTCAGTGCTGTTCCTGAATTCAAAGTCACTGTAACTTTCAGAAATGCGTAATTGTATTTAGTAGATAACTCCCATGAAATTAGGATTACCTGCTAAAATACAGAAGCTGAATTCAGAAGAATTACTGGCCCTACTCAGAAGTGGACAGACTTTAAATAATGCTTAAGGAAGTTCAAGGGACACTTAAACTTTAAGAAAGGAAAATTATCTTGATTATGTTGACTTCATAATGAACTATTGTTCCATTTTACTATTGCCCATCTTTTTAATAAGTGCAGGTTTTCTTTCAAAATCTTTCAAAGCAGTCTTTTTTTTTTTTTTTCCCACAATCCTGCATCCTCAATCTGAAAAAACATTCTTTTAGACTGCATGTGAACATTGATTCTACTCAACTCAACATTGCCGGGGGCGTGGTTTAAAAACAAACCCAGTGCTGTTCTACAAACTTATGTTATTGTGGTATCTCAAATTCTGAGTCTAAGTAAATGCTGCACTTACTGTGGGTCTCTTAGATAGCAAATACAGAGATTTCAGTTAATGTATGTAACAGGGTTGGTATTAGTAATAACTCATTCAGATAAAAATAATTGGATTTGAGGGGGAATTAAAGAGCAAAAAGCTTGCATGGTTTAATGTACAGTGCCTTAATAACTGCAATATTTTAAGTTCCCTTTGTGTGTAATGTGCCTCAGTGGAGCTATATTTTGCATGCGCTTCTAAGATACCTGTGTGGTTTTTTGTATTACCAGGATGTAGTTTAACATAATTACTTTAATCAAGTCAGTATTACATCTTTTATATGTTGAATGCTTGATGAAAAACTAAAACTGAAAGAAAATAGAAATTGATAGTAAAAGACTTTCACTGGAACCCTGGTCACTTAAAATTTGTGTTAGTACAACTTTGTTAGCTATGTATGCCTTCAAGTACATATTTCAGCATTGTTTTGTCTTTCTCAGAAAGCTCTGTCAAGGTGTGAGGTGTGATAATTCTTTTCAGGCACTTTCTAAGCTATAGGTTTTGAACAGGTAATTCTGAAATGTTCCCTGTATCAATCTGTGAAGAGCAGGGCTTAGTCTAACTTGTTTGCTGTTAGAAAAGGAAACAGAACTGCCTCAGTGAGTTGACTGGCTTTTTTGGTACGCTTTTTAGCTCTGTCTCCATTAGGGAAACAGTTTTGACTCATTCAGGAAATCTAATGAAAAGCAGCCTGTTCTCTTTAACTTCTCTGTTAAGAGCTCATCCCAAAACTGGTCACACAAAGTCAGAAGACAGTGAGTCAATCATTGAAGCATCTCAACAGAAAGCTTCCTGCCCGACATTTCTTTTTTTGTTTTCCACTCAGACTTTTGGCTGCCTTTGCTGACTGTGGAGACCTACAAGTCTCAGGAGTTCTCCATTCTCCAGCAGGAGTTGTGGCTTAGACTGAGATCAAGAGGGCAGCAGTGATTACAGCTCACCTCACCCTCAAGCAGGATGTGGAATTAGGAAGTTTGCAAACACCCCTCACCCCTATTTTGGTGGTATGGAACACGACAAGCAGCAGTTGGACTGTGAGTCAGCTAGCTCTTCACACAGCTGCAGCAGCATGCCCTTCCCTGGGGTCTGTATGATACAAAGGAAAAGTGGCAGAAAAACT